AGCGCCCGATTAATGATATGATCACCAATAATGCATGATGTAGTGGGTGAACCGGGGTCCTTAAATTTTGGAAGAGTGTTATGTTGCAAAATTGAGCTTACTTGCTCGGTCAAAATCACTTTTTTTTGTACTGGGCTCTTGTTCTTCCGCTTTTGGGTGCACAAGTCTTTCAAGAATTTGGCATAAGCCGGAATTTGCTTGATTGCATCCAATAGTGGAAGATTAACTTTCACTTACCTAAACATTTCCATAATTTCATTGGTTTTTGCTTTTTGCTTGTCTTTTGAAATGGATCATTTTAAGGCATCCGGAAATGGAACTTTTGGTTCAAACACTTTTTCAGAATTTTCTTTTGAACTCTCTTCAACACAAAAAGTTTTCAAGTCATTGTGTTCCAAATCATTTTTCAACAAAACCTTTTCAACATTATTTTTCAAAATTTCTTTTTCAAACACATTTTTCAAGACTTTCTCATTCACAAGGTCATGTATATGCAATGAAGGAGGAATGGGATATGAAACGGGACGGGTTACAACTTAAGGTTGCACCGGTTTACTCTCTCCATTGGACATTCCAACTTGATTGTCCACAATCCTACCACTCCGTAAGGTAGTCACTGCATTAACATGTTCAATGGTGTGGCCTTCCGATGAGGAATAGGTTTCCACAACACATTGTTGCTTAGGTGGGGCATTAATAGGCATCTTTCCCTTCTCTCTTGCATTGAGAGTGCTTGCTATTTGCCCTACTTAGGTTTTTAGCTTCGCAATAGATTGAGAGTGAGAATGAAGCAATTGAGTGTTAGCCTCTAAAGTGCCCAAAGCATTCAAAACTTTTTCTTCAGAGGCGGGACTTCTAGTATTACCTTAGGAATAAGATTGGTTGGGAAAATAAGAATTAGAAAATTGATTCCCTTGTGATTGATAAGGTCTATAACCTTAGGATCCTTGGTTTTGAAGTGGAGGTGGAATGTACTTCCCTTGAAAACCGCCTTGGGAAGAATTTAAGCCCTCTCCTTGGTTTTCCAAGATAAATTCGGATGATTCCTCCAACTTGGATTATAGTGAATACCATAAGAATTGTTCCCTTGGTTCATAAAAGCTGCATTGACTTGTTCATTAGGTTCATTTTGCACTTGTCCATGAGGACAATGAGAAGTAGAATGAAGGACACTAGTACAAGTCATACGTGTTTCATTTGATGCACGATGAGAATGGTTAGAGAAGGAAGATACTTGGTTCGCCGAGTTTTGGTTAATCAAAATTGATCAAACCTTTGAGATAAAGACTTCATTTCGGCTGCTATTTCATTTGAATGGTCGACTTGATGTAAGCCAACACTCTTCCTACCTTGTGAATTTCTACCATTCTTGGATGATAGTGTTCTATGCAAAGAATTTTCACTCATGCTCTCATAAAGACACCACACGTCATCCTTATGCCTATCAATATATGAGCCACCCATGGAAGCATCAACCATGCCCTTATAGTTATCCGATAAGCTCTCGAAGAAGTATTGAACTAATTGCCATTTGGGAATGTCATGATATGGACACTTCATAAGCAATTCATTGAAGCGTTCCCATGCCTCATGAAACGTTTCTCCATCCCCATATGAAAATTCTCGAATTGAGGTTCTCATGACATTGGTCTTAGAAACTGGATAGTACTTCTTCAAGAACTCTTGTTGCATTTCTGCCCAAGAAGTGATTAAAAAAGGCCTAAGATTGTTAAACCAATACTTTGCCTTGTCTTTTAAGGTGAATGGAAAAAGTATGAGTCTTAAAACCTCTTCCGGCATGTCCGTATATTTTACGGTGGAACATACTTCAAGAAACTCATCCAAATGCTTGTAGGGTTCTTCACTTGGAAGTCCATGATAGTTAGGAAGTATTTGAATGGTTTGTGACTTAATTTCATAATGATGTGCTCTAAATGGAGGCAATTGGATGCATGTAGGTGCATTATACTTGTTAGGCACATAATGGTCTCTTAAAACAAGAGGTGGATTAGCTACTTAAGGTGCAACATGAACACCTTGGTTTTGAATTCCTTGATTGATGTTGGGAGGTTGTGGAGCATACATTGGCCTTGGCATTCCATATGGAACTTGGCCTTGTTGTCGTGGTGGTTAGTGAATGAATGGCATAGGTATGCCTAATGGTACTTGTATGTTCTCATTGTACACATTGGAATGAAGGATACCTTGTTGATCTATGTGACCAAGGTCCTCAACATGATCATTATTATGGTCATCCATTGATAGATTGGCTCTATTTGAACTTCCTCTTCCCCTAGGATTTCTAACGATGGATTCAAGATGCAAATCAAAAGGGACAAGAGTTGGTCTTAATGAACGACGTCCATGCATGCACAATGCAAAACACAACAAACACAAAGAATGACAAACACTATGCCTTCACAACAATGCAATTAGACTTCTTCTACAAACACTTAATTCATATTCTCATGCTTTAACAACAATGATGCAAGAACAATTAAAAATAAGCCTCCACGCGGGCCGACGATTTAACTAAGGGATTGAGTAAAGAAAGTCTCACAAAGGTCCTTTAGCACTTCAACTCCAAATTTATAGCTTAGCTTAGCAAATTTTTAGAATTTTTGGCTTTTTTCTTGCTTGCTTAGCTTGAATGCTCATTTGCTTGCTTCCTCTACAACAATGCACCTAGTTAAGTAAGAACAACACAATAAGTAACCAAAAAGAAAAATAAAAAAAATAAAGTAAAGACACAATCAAAAGAGTACTAATCCTAATTGATTCCACAAATTCGACGTTGCCGAATCTAATCAATCAAATCCCCGGCAACGGTGCCAAAAACTGACCGGTGTATGCCGCACCACCGTCAAGCTTGAGAGTGTGTGGATTTTAAGGCGAGGGCTAAGAGTTTTATATTTATAGAAGCCACTACTACCTTTCACTATAAATATAGCTAGGGCGAGTGGGGATCGTCCCAAGGGATTGTGAGGATCGAACAATGTCGTAGAATTGTGATTAGGGCTAGTAGGTCGAGTGATCAAACAATTGGTTGGTTGGTTGATTAGAGAACAACTAAATTAAACTAAGTGATAACAAATAATGCAATTAAGAGTAAGTAAGAGAAAGAGAGATATTGGAGTTTAGAGATCACCACCAAGTAATGCATTTCTATACCATTGACAAGTGATTAATGAGGGCAAATGGTGTGTTGCAATATTGGTGTGTGTGTATTTGGTTGATTCAACAAACAAGGATGACTAGTTAAGCATGTATTGTCTAAACATCATGTAAAAGGCACAATATATCTAAGCAATGAAGCATATATTATCTAAATAACATGTGAAAGGCACAATAGATCAAAACAAGTCATTAATCCTTTCATTAAGCTCATAATCCAAATACAACACAAGGATAGAGACATATGTTACTTGCATTCAAAAGCTTGGATCATCAAACAACAAGCATAAATTGTCCTCCCATTTAACACTACACTACATCTATACTACTAACATGAAAATAAACTAGGGGAGAGGCACAATCCATTAAGAAATAAGTATGAACCATCAAGAGAATCACAAAAGCATTTCTTTAAGCATTATGTTTTGACAATCTCCAAATCTATAGCATCAATACACATAGACATGAATCAATAACACAACATCTAGAGACAAGCACATGAACATCTATTCTAGCATACATAAACATATGGATAGAATGAAATGATCAATTGGAAGCATTAAACCACATAAATCATTGAATAAACAAGATCTATATATATATCAAAGTGTCAAAACATTAATTACAACACTAATTCCTCAATAATACACAAGATTAAGATATAGAAAGCATGCTTGAGGTTAACTCTAGCCCCAAGAGGATGTCTAGCTACTCATGATGATGTTGCTCCAACCCTCAAGGGCTAACTCCATGGTTGAAATCTGCTCCTTGTTGATGAAAAACTCCAATGGTGTCTCTAGCCTCCCCCTCCTCTAAACTTTCCCCCCAAGAGAATAAACCCTAGAATTGTGTATATTTCAAAAAGTGCATCATATTCCTTTTATAGGTAGGTCAAGTGGCACACAAAATGAGCTGGGGTCGTGCAAAAAATATTCTCTAATGATTGGATAGAGGACGGATTGTACAAGCTGGAAATTTAACTTTTTCGCACTGGAGGAAGTTCGATCGATCGAACCTTGGGCTTGGATCGATCGAACTGGCTGAGATTCATTGAACTTAGGTTGGATCGATTCAACTGGTTGAGCTTTTTGGGAAAAGACAAATCGGAGATATTTTGAAAGATATTTTTGGGAAAAAGGACAAAAGTGGTTAGTGGGTGGTACAGCTGTAGATAGGATCAATCATTTGAATAAGGACAAAAGTGTTCGATCGATCGAAGGGTGGTGTTCGATCGATCGAACTTTTGGACTTTATACTTTTGGGTCAAGGTTTGGATCTATCTTGAAGTGCTGAGATCGATCATTGTTCGATCGATCGAACCTTGAAGTTGGATCGATCGAACTTTGCTGCTTCTCACCTTTAGTTTCATTTGCTTCTTTCTTTCTCCACTTTATCGAACCTTGAAGTTGGATCGATCGAACTTTGCTGCTTCTCACATTTGGCTTCATTTGCTTCTTTCTTTCTCCACCTTGCTCATTTCTTTGTTTAATCCCAGAATTGCTTCAATTAAGCTCTTATTTGGTTAAGTTAGCTTATTTTCGGAATACGTGCCTGAAAATAAAAATAATATGAAATTAATCTAAAACGGTAAAATAAGATAGATAAAGGTGCTAGAATGCCTAAGTTTAAGGATTTTAAATACGCACTTTTCAGTGTTCATCAGCGGGGATAAAAAAAAATCCAACCTAATAAAAAGTAAATCTACTCCATCAAGCCAAAAATAAGTCTAACAGTGGTAGATTTAACAAAACAACAACGAAAACGGCCTAAACAGCCTAAAAAAACTACCACCGAGCGACTAGGAACAACACTGCCGCCGAGTTTATTATGCGAACCTGAAAATAAAAAAAATAAAAAACGCGTTATCGGAAAAGGTCATCTTGTGTAATTTCACACGTGATAACAATTGGCCATTGACTTTTGTTCCCTCTCTCAAACTCTCACCGTCGGAGACCGATTCGGAGAATCTCTCTCTAAAAACTCTCTCAGAAATTCTCAAAGAAGGCTTAGGGCGATTGGGAGAATCTTTCTCTAAAACTCTTACCGGCTAAGGATTCTCGCAGGAGGGTTTATGGATTACGGTTGCAGATGTTCTTCTTCGTCTTCTCTGATTGTTTATGACTCGTCCTTCCGTCTGATTCTTCTTACCCTATTTCAACCGTCCGATCTCTTGCTGTCTCTCTCCATTCGATTCACACCTTGGTTACGAGACCTCCGCTAACATAGACCACTTCGTATTTATTTATAATACACAAAATCCACAAAGAAAGGTATTATTGCTATTCCAAATTTCAAAATTTTCAGTTGCAATTATATGAAATTCCATCATTCTGTATTTTAAAGAAAGTATTGCTATTATATTTGCTCTCAATGTTGTCATTTATTTTCCCCAATGTGTTCTGAATGTTATAATTTTGATTAAACATTAAACACCTAACTTAATGTCTGCAAAGGTAAGTGCCTTATTTAGGGTCAATGGTGGACTTATTTATTTAATAAGTGTGAAAAAGAAAACGCCAACAAATATGGTTCATTATTGAGTTCTGCTAGTTTTGATTGCTTCTCTCTCTATATTAATCCTTTATATAAAGTATAGAACCGGGAGCGGATAAAAAAAAAAAAAAAAAAAAAAAAAAAAAAAACTACACAAGATTGAAACGAGGCCCCTAATATCCCAGCCTAAGAAGTGCACTCTTGGACACGTTTTTGACACATCATGAACATGTCCATAATTTAAAAATAATTTTATCATTTCAGACACTTTATGGGACACTTGGCCAACACATTTGGACACTTGGTCATCACATTCTACACTCCGTTTTATGAAAATTAAAAAACCACAATTCTGGAAACAATATTATGGACAGACATCAAAGTGTCAAAATTTTTTTTTTTTTTTTCTAAAAAATTGACATTAAATATGTCACATAATGTAATGAACAAAAACATAACTATAATAACAAGATAGGAGAGTAATAAGATATATAATAAAAAATATATATATATTTTTTGTAGTTGAATAGTTTCATTCTCTAACTTATATAACTTTAGTATAGAAATTATAAATTAATTAAAGTATTATAATTATTTTAATCATTAGATATATAAATAAAAATTTATATTATATTAGTTGTGTCCATGTTGTGTGTGTGTCTTACTATTTTAGAATTTGCGTGTTGGCAGATCTGTGTCATATCATGTTCATGACTCCATGTTCCGTGTTCGTGTCTTTGTTTGTGTCTATGTCTGTGTCTGTGTCCATGCTTCTTTCCTTTGCTTCGGCCATTGTATAGTCTTCGGGTTTCTTTCCCCTTTTGAATGCTTTCTAATATTCTTACATATCATTTTACATTGCCCAATGGCTCAAGATTGATGGCTTTTGTTTTTTGGTTTGTTTGGGATTCATTGGGTTATGCCACGAGCTACCAAAGGCTGGATTGAGGCTTAGAGAGGGTGTATAGTGGGGGTCCAAGCTAGAGACTCTTGGAGGGTTACTTCGCTGTGCATTTGGTGGTGTTTGTGGCTTAAAAGGAAATGGAGATCCTTTGAAGGAAAGGAAAATCATATTGGGTCATTGAAGTTATCCATTTTTAGCACTCTTTTTTGTTGGGTTCTAGGGAGAAGTTGTAAATCCTTGGATGAGCTTGTAGAGTTTTTGGATTTGTTGAGGGTTTAGAGGCCCTACTTGGCCTTCTGTTGTTTCTGAGGGATGTGTTCCCCTATTAAAGGCTTTTAATGAATTCTTACTTATAAAAAACAGAAGAAGAAAAAAGTCTGTGTCCTTCTTAGCTCTCAGTATCCACAAAATCCCCTAATAATTTACAATTCCTCCCATAAACCCAAAAAAGAAAAAAAGAAAAAAGAAAAATAGAAAACTAATAATAAATCATGGTCACTTACGTGTTGAGGCTTAGACAGATGCTGATTATGCAGGATCAATTTCAGATAGGAGGTCTACTTCAGGTTATTGTACCACTATTGGCGGTAACTTGGTTACTTGGCGCAGTAAGAAGTAGGATGTTGTCTCTCGATCTAGTACAGAGGCAGAGTATAGGGCTATGGCTCTTGGGGTAGGTGAGTTGCTTTGGCTGAAAACCTTGATGACAGACTTGTGCCTTCCAGTGTCGCTTCCATTCTCACTCTACTGCGACAACAAGTCTGCCATTAGCATAGCAGCAAATCCCGTTCAACATGACAGGACTAAGCATATAGAGGTGGACCGTCACTTCATTCGAGAGAAGATCATCTCTGGTCAAATTTGCACTCCATTTGTCACAAGTTCTCAGCAGCTTGCAGACATTCTTACAAAGGGCGTCAGCAAGATTGTGTTTGAGAATGCATTGTCCAAGTTGGGCGTTTCAGATATCCACGCACCAACTTGAGGGGGAGTGTTAGCATTTATGATACTACGATTTATGGTATAACTTACCATAATAGCAGAGATTTGACTATGCATATAATAGCATATATATGATACCACGATTTATGGTATGACTTACCATAATAGCAGAGATTTGACTATGCCATAGAATATGCTTTAGAATAAGTTGTGATTTGATTTTGATTTGATTTAGTTTCCTTTCTTGTAATATGAGCATGTGCTCATTTTATCTATAAATATTAGACCTGTGAATGAGTAATTCATCTCATTTAAGCCTTTACGCAATTCTCTCTTTTCTTTTCTTTTTATATATTTCTACTAATATCAAATATAAAAAGTAAATCCATCAACTGTATAAGCATTCAAGAACCATAAACAGACCACAAATTTGTTTTCTTGAAAGGCAAAACAGAGCACAAAAGGAGTTAAATCTATTAACAAAAAAAAAAAAATAGTTGTTAACAAGAAAAGAAAAGAAAAGAAAAATAGAGTCAAAGAAACAAAAAAGATGCCGAGACAAAAGAAGTAGATGAAGAGAGAGAGAATGTGTTAAAGAAGAAAAGGAGAAAAAATAGAGCTAAAAAAAAAAAAATAAAAAGACAGAGAGGAGAACTAGACGAAGAGAGAAGTAAACATAGATGAGAAGAGAGGAGTAGAGGAAAAGAGAGAGGAGAAGAAGAAGAAAGAACTGACATGGTTTTGTCGTTCATCTCTGCCACTAGTGCTTTGTCGTTCGTCTCCACCAATAGGGTTTTGTCGTTGGTCTCGCAGCCTCACTCTTTCTATGTTCGGTTGACACTTTGACTCTTGGACTTTTTTATTTGTTTACTCTTTTGAACAAAAGTTATTTCTCTCATACACAGGTTTTCTTATTTGTTTATTAAATTGCCAAAAGTATCCTTTTTGGCTTAAGAAATAGAATAATCATTTAAAAAAAAAAAAGCAGTGAGACGCGTTTGACAAATAGGACGAAGTGCAACCAAGTCACGCGCCTAGTAAACTTTACTGCGCCTAGGATGACAACAAGCGCTAGATTTGTGCCTCGAGCACCTAGGCGCGACTTTAACAACATTGGGCTCAACAATGTACTCTTCATTAAATTTAGCCTCCCTTCCTTCGAGCGGTATTGCTTCTTCCAGCCTACTAACCTTCACTCGAAGCTCTCAATTACCTTATCCCAGACAAACACGCTCCTCGAAGCCAACCCTAAAGGTAGCCCCATGTACGAAATCAGAAATGCCCCGACACCGCACCCCAGAATGTCTGCCAAAGAAGAAACCACTACAACCTCTCCCACCGGCACAATATGCTCTTTCCATTGTTCATTTTCGGAACAGAGACTGCTTGAAAGCAAATCAAAACGCATCTCAAGTATCTTAGCTAAGACTCGACTACATCACAAAAAACTATGGTAAGACTACAAATGAAGAGCTCTAGCTCTGCTTGACTCGGTAAAAGTTCAATTGTATTTCTTTCCCAAGTAAACGAGGTTGAGGTTGAGGTTGAGGTTGAACAATATTTTTGAACTCCTTTAGCAAAAGAGCCGAGGCATAATAACTCATAACTTGACTCGTTAGGTTCTCAATGAACACTAGTTCATGCTTATGGCTTGTGCATATGGTTCACTTTTTACTAGAATTTGTTTTGTGAATTGGCTAGTGCATTTGGCTCTTTTCTACTAGAGTTTGTTTTCTTGTATAGTAACTTTTCTCCTTATCAATCCTGTTCTAAAGCTTGAGTTACAGCTCCTTTTGTCTGAACTCAAGACTAGCTAAACGGGCCAAGATCGAGCTTGGTAAGCAGTGTCTGAGCTAGAACAGTTTTCAATTGATTGACCCGAGCTTGACACCTAAGTATTTGGATCTGCTCAGTTCAATTACAGTCATAATCATTGGATTATATACGTTTATCAAGTTACACATTTCAAATATGAAGTCAAAGGTAGCTGGTCGAATAATTCAAAATTCTTTAAGTGAAATATTAAAAGAAAACACTAACTGAGAGCTTGATTTGATAGTATGTAGGAACACTAAATCTCTGATTATTATTATTTTTATAAGTAAACTATTATAAAAGGCACTCAATTGGGGGAGCACATCCTACAAAAATTACACAAGGACCAAATGGAGCCCATATAATCTCAAAATCCACTAATTCCCCTATTGATTTGGGCTATTCTCTATGGCTTGTCTGGGGTCCACTCGGTCATACCTCTTTCCACAATGAGCATGCTCGAGATATGGAGAGGTTGTATGGTGGGGTCTCAGGCTACCAATTAATTTGATTTTTGGTGTGTATTATAAATATGAGAAGGGTATTTAAATTCTCACCAAGATTGAGATTGAACTTTGTATATAGTTGATCCCCTCATATCAAGCACTAATTGAGCAAAATTGACTGACTTACTTGCTTATAATACACAGCAATACGAATGCTAGTATTTGGTAGTAGAGAAACCCCATGCACAATGGATGTTTGGTTTGTGCAGAACAACACTGTACTGCTTACTGGTTGATCTTTATGTCGCTGTTTAAGAAAAGGGGGTTAAATTTTGTGTGGACACAGTGGACTACTTCCAAATAACACATGGGATGTGCATTTTCTCAATTGTCATGAATTGAGAAGTCTTAAATGTATTTTTTTTTTTTTTGATAAGTAAAGATTGTATAAAGAAGCCTTCAAAAGGGGAACACATCCCTCAGAAGATACACAAGAAGTCTTAAATTCTTGGGGTTATGGTGTTTTTTTTTTATTAACCCCTTTTTGGAAAATCATTCTATTTCAGGTCTCTGAAAGAGAAGTTTTTGCCTTGTGGTGCTGTACAAACAAATTAAAGAGTTACTTCATTACCTAGTAAATACATATAGCAGAGGAACACACTTAAAGAATGATATGTGCCATCCTAGTGCATGACATAAGACGACCATTTCAGCTAGCACTTTGCATATGAAGATGTCAATGAGGAGGACTAAATCACCTGGGTGGGCTGCATTTGACCTCAAACAGCGACAGAAAAAAGTTTTTGTACCTGAAGGTGAAGCTGATTCTTACCCACCTATGTCGAGCGCTATCGCTCCTCTTCAAACATGCCAAAACCTTGTGAAGAACAATGATCCCTCGGCAAAGTCTTTCTCATCTGTGCTACTCCCTTCTGCAAATTTTCCGTCTTTGGTGAATAAGGATTTTGGGAAGCCATTATCAAACAGCAATTCTAATGAAAAACATTGCAATGCAGTCTCTGAGGAATACTCTGTTATTCTGGCTTGTAAAAAGCTTAGAGAGATCCACTGTTGGGCTGACAGAAGCTTGATTGAGGATATTATGAAAGCTGTAGATAATGACATTGACAAGGCCTCAACTTTATTGAAAGAAATGGTTTCTTCTGGTAGCTCTGAGGGGAATAACAGAACAGTCAGCGGACTTAAATCTAATTCTAAGGATTTTCTCTGTGACAACAATTTATTGCGAGATAAAGGTGTTTCTTTAGGAGAGAGCACAAGCCTTGCAGAACTTAGCCATGTTCTTGAAGATTGTTTTAATGACAAGAATAAAGAACCAATACATGGCCATACTTCTCGAGTAGAAAAGCTTTCTGATGACATTGAATGTATGAAACTGACTTTGCAGCAGTTGAGTTCTATACCTGTTGAGCCTGATTGGGAGGAAGATGACATTTACTTGATTCATCGAAAAGATGCATTAAGGATGATGAGGTTTGTGTTCAATATTCATAATCTGCTTTTGGAATTTATTTAGCATTGGCTTAAATGATTTAAATGACTTTTTAATACTTAGAAAAGATCTTTCTGATTCTTATTTCCATTTTCATTATTTCCACAATTTCACTTGCTTATGGACCATGAATGGTGCACTCCCCATTGAACATTTTTTACATGGCATGGGATATTTTCTACACACTTCATTTGGAGAAAAATAATGTATATCATATGCCAAAAGCATTTCTTAGAAGGATTATGTCGGTGACCGATAAATGTGTTAGTGGTGAATTTTGATGCTGTTTCATAACTTTGGTATCAAATCCCAAATCTTTGGACGTAAGAACATGAGTAAATATTAATCCCAAATATTAAATGATTTAAATGACTTTTTAATACTTAGAAAAGATCTTTCTGATTCTTATTTCCATTTTCATTATTTCCACAATTTCACTTGCTTATGGACCATGAATGGTGCACTCCCCATTGAACATTTTTTACATGGCATGGGATATTTTCTACACACTTCATTTGGAGAAAAATAATGTATATCATATGCCAAAAGCATTTCTTAGAAGGATTATGTCGGTGACTGATAAATGTGTTAGTGGTGAATTTTGATGCTGTTTCATAACTTTGGTATCAAATCCCAAATCTTTGGACATAAGAACATGAGTAAATATTAATCTAATAATATTTTTGGGGATTAAATAATGTAGTTATGTAACATATAGTGTTCAATTTCGCACTTCACTTGTTTTGGAGCAGTTTTGTAACAAAATAAAAGTAATAAGTGAAATTAAATTAAATTATTGAATATACTTACTGATGATTGCTCAACCAAACATGTCAGATACACATCTCATATCCATACCCAAGTGTTGTGTGTTTGGCATTGGTACTTCACACATTTAGAATAGTTCATATAACACAGGAAATTATAAATGTCTGGTTTTCTCCTTTTAGGTTACTTTACTTTGGAGAAGTCTACTGCATTTGTGCAAAGCTTGATAGGAAATGTGTGTTATATCCTTAACTAAGTCATGCATTATTTGTTGATCCTTTTGAAAAAATCCCATGCTTGTCACCATAATAGTTAAAAACATGCATAGTCTCCAAAAAGCCCCATGATCGTCAAGGCTCAGCTTGAGCATCCACGTACACTGTGATATGAATTTCTTCCTGAAATGGAGGCAATTTTTAAACACTCGTAGAATGTATTTGTTACATTTGTGGTCCCAATGTACTCATGCTTCCAACTACCCTGGACTATGGTTTGTCAAATACTATGGTTTGTTGGTTGCTTTGTAGTCATATATGAAGTTCCTATTCTTTTTATTGTTGCAGGTCAGCGTCTCATCATTCAAGGGCAGCTACTGATGCTTATCTAAGAGGTGATCACTTCTCTGCCCAACAGTCTTCAATAAAGGCTCGGAAGGAATGGCTGGCTGCTGAAAAGCTTAATGCAAAGGCAGCGAAGGAAATTATAAGTATCAGGAATTGTAACAACGATACCTGGAAATTGGACTTACATGGTCTTCATGCAGTAGAAGCGGTTCAAGCTTTGCAGGAACACTTGCAGAAGATCGAATCCCAGGTATTATTAAATCGTTCAGTATCTCCTAGTAGAACCAACGAGAAAGCTGGTTTTGTATGTTCTGCATCTCTTGAATCTTTGGGTTGTATGGACATGGAGAAGTTGGATACACAACAGGCATCATCAAGGCAGAGACCAACATCATTGCATGTTATAACAGGTATTGTTATTTATTCGGTGAATAACATATAATTCCTATCCACACCTGTGCTACATTTGAAGTTGCTCCAGGCTATTTTGCTTTACATACCTACATAACTAGATTAATTTTAACTGTTCCATAGCCTACAATATGCGCAGATTTTCATTCCTAAACCTAAAAGAAAGATTTATTGCCAGTTATATGCCTAGAACATCCATTATCAATCTACCAATTATCATTTGCTTTAAGAGTCATGTGGATTACTATGCATTTTACCTCTTCTTTTTCATCCAAATTTCATTTTTATTAGAAGTGTTTTTTATTTCTATTTTTATTTGCCGGTAGAGACTTAATTGGGAAAGGTTTAACCATCTCTGTACTTCCTCTAGTCTTTTCTTGGAGAAAGAATGTTTAATGCTTTATTTCTTCTTCTTAAGATAATTTATGCGTTTAGTGCATTGTTTTTTATAAGTATTTATGAGTTTAGTGCATTTAAATCATATATGACCCTTTTCCAAACAATAATGACTTGTTGGATTATGTTTAAGGAGATCTAACTTCTTAGACTCACTAGATTTCTTATGGCTATCTTACTTAATATATTACCAATCTTAGCCTTAGAATGTACTTTTCCAACTGCATTATTTTTTGTCCTTTGAATCAATTCTAGCTTTTCTAATCTAGTTTACAGTTCTTTGTTCATATTTCTAGACCGTGCAGTTTCTAGTTCATCTTTGTTCATCTCTTTCCATCTTAAGTTTAGTCACTGGAACTGTTGTACTAGCAATTTCTAACTTCAGACTTTCTGTTCAAAGTTCCATTGCTTTTAATTTATTCAACAGTTCAAAATTTCAGTTTTTAAACTTAAGAAATCATTAATGCAGCTCAGCAAAAGCAAGCCAAAAAATATAATCTTCATTATATTCAAAAGTACATACCTTGGGAGATTATATATTAGCCAATTCATGATCAGAAGCGTCACAAGAAGAGTTGCATGCTTTTTAAAGCTAAGTTCCTTATCACAGTCACTATCAGAAGTTGTATTAGATAAACTAGGATGATCTTTAGGCATCAAATTGTCAAATGAAACATAATCATCAGTATAAACACATTCAACTGATTCTATCTTCCATTTACCGGGAAAAGAAACTTATTATATCTTCTTAATATCCATATTTTTCCTATAGATCAACTATTTGTATTGAGTAATACGTTGTGATACCAGTTGATGAATCTACAATCGATAAGCTCTAATACCAATTGATATTTCGTGAGATTGATACCTAGGCTCTGATGTGTGAGTGGTGATCTAGACCTAGAGGGAAGGGGGTGGAAGAGTTCTTATGGAATTATAAAAAAAAAAAAAAAGTTCTTATGGATACCTTTTTGGCAATTAATTTTTAAAATTATCATTAATTCTTTTTGAAATTCAGTTATGATGATTGATATTCAAATTTCTATTTATACCTATTAGATTTTAAATTTCATCCATCATATCCACAATCATGCATTAATAGAAAATCAATTAGAGCATACCTACAAATTTTTACATGCAAAACCGAATGTGGAAAAACCAAGGGACCTAGTTCAGATTGGCACAATGCACCATATGAGAAAGAAACTACAACCACATTGACAATTCCTACACCCTAGAACCCCTAGTTATATTTTGACATAAACTGACACCAAACTCTCCACTTGCGTCTTCAGGTTGTTCGTCCGCTTGTCAACAGACTTTCCTCTTCACGTATCTGCTGCTCTATTGATTGTTTACCTTTTTGCTCTGAAACATGATTGATTGATTGGTATTGAATTGATGAATTTTTCCTTGATCAACACTTGATCACATATAATGGTGTCCAAGGAAACCCTAGATTGAGTAATAAGAAATTCTACTCCCCCCCAAGGTCTTTCTCTCTATATATGATTAGAGGCTTCAATTTCACACCTAGACTGACTATAACTGTATATTTATAGCCATTATAGGTAGCCCATACGTTTTAAATAGTTGAATTCTTGTAATTTTATATTTTATATATTTTTTAATCTTTTTTTGGGAGTGTTTTCAAAATATATGTTTGTTAGGTTCAATCAATCAACTCTTTGATCATCACCCTGAGGAGTCGCTTTGATTGATCATTCGATCACTTATTTGATTGATGCTCTTAGTAATTCAACCCAGTACTCAAATGACTTAAAACACTTCGACACATTACAACTCAAGTTTTGAGTAGAAAATTGCCAACACACGATTCTTATTCCTAACACCTTGCATAGGCAGCAACATCGAGGCCCTATATGGAGTTTAATGCTGTCATACATTCTTTGATCGTTACTTTCAGCAGTAGACTCAATGTGTGAGGTATTAGACCCAAGTTGACCAAACTAGAGCACCATCTCCATTGTTTCAACCTTGTCATATTCATTAAATGAATTCATAAGTCATGATGGCTGAAAATATCTCTCTGCTGGAAGTTGAGTTTCGGGATATCGATTTTGCTGTCCTATCATCCATACGGACTGATTTCACAAAAAAAATGTCAACGTATTAAATGACTGCATGGTATTTGCAAGCAAAAGGACATTAGATAACATCTATATGAACATTACGTGGGAAACCAATCTTGAAGTTATAGCATTTACTGGTTTGAAGTGTGTTGGTGAGATACTTGCATAAGAAAGCTTAGGCTGCGTTCATTAACGTGAAACATTTTCTATTTTTGCTTCTGCAAGAAATAGAAATATAATTTCGTTTTTTATGAGTGAAAATAGAAAACGGAAAACGGAAATGGTGTTTATTAAAATCATTTTGTCGTCACAATTTGCAAAAGTAAAAACAGAAAACCGTTTAGTAACACATTTGTTGAACATTTTTTGTTTCCTATTATATTTCAGATTCATCTATTAAAAACTTACCTTCAAATCCTAACAGTACATGGTTTACTTAATAATTTGGAGTAGATACATGGAATACATTCAGGGAAAAAAAAAATACAACATCAAATTTAAAGCAACACATTCTAACAATAACATTTACATGAACATAAAATATATCCAATTTAAAGTCATAATTTGTGATTGAATCACGAACTCCTTATTCTTCAATACATTCTCATTTTCATATTCATCAAATAAAATGCAAGTGGCTTTGAGTAGCTATACAATAGTGATCTCTTGCTCAAGCAAGAAATTTTCTACACATTTACCATTGGATTAAATCCAACAGTGATATTACAAATCTACCTTTCTACCTTCCTAATCCAGCAAAACCATTTTTCTACCCATTTAGAGTTTCCTAAACCACTTTTCTCCCTATTTAAAGTTTACTAAATTGATTTTACCAAAAAAATCCCAGTATAAATTAATATTTCGAATTTAGAAATTTTTGACGACTCATTCAATTTTTGATAAAGTATTGTTATTGATGTGAATAAAAATATTGTTTCATACTTTTCATTTTTGGGAATTAAAATTGATTTACTATACATTGATATGGTTGGCACATTACTTTGTTTTTAATCATTTTTTGAATTCTTTGATTTTTTATTCTTAATTTCAACCGTTTATTAGTTCAATTCAGTCAAGACGAGACGAAAAAAATTCTATTGGATTTTCATCTTCTTGAAAAAATTCTATTGGATTTATATCTTATCGAAAAAATTCAACATGTACATATTCTTTTATTATTTAAACTTTTAACTTTGCCATTTAAAAAAACAAACAAAAAAATTTCCAAAAAGTGACGTGCTACAGTGATGAAAATGTTTTGGCCGCTACAGTGAGAAAAAAAGGAAACGACTTTTATGTTTTCTCTTTTCTTCATAAATTTGAGAAACGGTTGAGAAACGTTTGCACTATGAAAAAGTAAAAACACATTATTTAACATATTTTCTGCTTTTGTTTTGCCTTTTTAGGAAATAAAAACAGAAAACAAAAAATGTTTCTTGTTAGTGAACACACCCTTAATTATATAGAGGGGGAGAGAGAATGAGAGAGTTAGTGAGAGAGAGAGATTGGGATCGTGCAAGAACATTTGGTGACCATACTTGTTTGATCGTTATATATATATATATATTTTTTGACTAATTCATAGAAACACTAGGACTAAACATCTGATATTTCTCAGTGACTTATACATATACAATAAATGTATATGACATATCACTACCAAGCATACGATATTGATTCTCCATTTCTGGATTAAAAGTAATAATAAAAAAATTCACACACACACACACACACTGACAAACAAGTACAGAATTCACCTTTAGAGCAATAACAAAGTAGTTAAATTATGTTATAAATGCAATTTCTATGTTCAACACTGAGAAGTTCTTGAAAGAATCCATTCTTGCTCTCATTTAAGAAAACTAATGCTATGTTTGGTTAAGGGAAATATTGAGGAAGGATGGAAGAGAGGAGGGATGGATGAGCTTTCTCATGTTTGGTTGGAAGGAACGGAAGAGAGGGAGGAAGCAAGTTTTCTTATCCGTTCAAAATTGGGTGAAAGAGAGGAGGGAAAGAGTGAATGACTACCTAAATATATAAAATACTAATTTTGACCTTTCCGAAAAAATTGTTTTTATAATTTTATATGAGTGTATACTGGAAAAATATATAAAAACCCTCCTTTCCTTCCAACCAAAGAAAAAAATTGTGTCACCCGACCCGACTCACCCCATCCATCATTTCCACTATCCCTTCTATTTTTTTTTTTTTTTTTGATAAGAAAAAATATATTAGAAAGCGTTCAAAAGGGGAACGTGCCCAGGAGCTGTACAAAAACTAGAAACAAGAAACAAGGAAAAGACCTATGGTCCCAAAGAACCCATAAAGTCCACCAATTCATCTATGGATGAATAATTTCTCCCCCAACCCCAACGAAAAAGAGAAAAGATAATGGAAAACTTCAACGCCCTAATGGAAGATTCCTCCCCATCAAAAGATCCCTTGAGGGAGACACCTTCCCTTCTTTAGGGATGCCTCATCCATCCTTTCCCCTCTCCCTTCTGTCCATTTTTCCATCACTTCAACCAAACAGAGCATAAATAAAGAGGCTTAAGGAGATACAGAAGAACCCAAAGTGCTACCTCAAAGAGAAAATTCTTCCTGGACATAGAATCAGGCTATCATCCTTTTAGAAGGATGGAGGAGGTCCATTGAATATGCAATGAACAGAATACTTCCCTTTTGTTCTTTAGTCGGCCAACCAATGACATTATTTGGATGATCTTTGACAAAAGAAGCGCTTTGGATGTTTTTAAGATCTCAAATGAGAGCTTGAACATAAATTTTGCAAAAGAATTCACACAATACTCCAAATTATATTATCCCGACTCAATACTTGTGTCAGGGAACACTTTCACATCTATATTAGTCAATGGAATGACTTTAATCCCCATAAAGGCCAGATCTAAGATCCCATCATGCAATCACTGACGTAGCAACCAAACAATCAATAAACCAACAATGCGACTTTCAAATTTCCAAAACTATATCTGAAAGAGCTTACTGGTAACGAAATTTGGGGCAAGAGGAATCTGAGTGAAAGAGAGACAGATCCAAACAAGCAAGTTTAGGGTTATGGTTTATTCTTTGCCTCAATGGTCTGCTGTGAGCTCTGCAGTGCTGGAGAGTGAAAAACAGAGCGACGAACAAAATTTTCCTTGTTTTCTGTTCTTCTTTTATTTTTTATTTTTTTTTTCCTTTTTCTTTTTTGGCTTTTAGGAACAAAAATGCATTGCTACCAAGTGACCCCTTCGCTTTCAGATCTGTCTATCATACCAATTAAAATACTTCTGAATGGAAGCAAGCGAATTGTAGACTATCGTAGGATCATTCCTTGAGAATCTGAAACTTCCATCTTGACTTTTTGTTAACGTCTCCACTTGTATCATGTGGATAATGTCAGCATTTCTCTAGCAAGTTTATACTTCATTCAAGTAATACTGTGACACCCTATAATATCAGGCAGCACTTGATTTCTTCCCTTAAGGAAAATTTGCATGCTGGCCTATTTGTCGGTCCTCTTGATTCACACCATTCTTGGCATCATTGTACTCTACGAAGTGTCTTCTTTGCACATGAAATGTAACATCACCATTGGGTTGAAAAGTTTGGATAGTTTATTTCTTAAGATAAAGTTTTCAGTTGTCTTATAGCTCAAATAGAAACTCATATAGCATAGCATTAGTTAGTCTCGTTTCTTAATGATATTCTTGAATGCACACATATGATTTAGAACCTGCACTTATACCAAACTGATGAAGAACATGTTCGTGGAACACCGTCTTATTACTTATAACACCACTATTGATATAGGACATCTGTAAAAGCGGGCCTCTAGTGGTTGAATGTCTCAGGCAATATGGGGGTTCTTAGGCTTAGTAGAGGGTGTAAGCGGAGTGTAAGATTATGGGAATTTAGTCGAGAAAGATGTGAGTGTTTAGAAAGCACTAGGAAGAGGTTTAGCAGTTTAGAAAGCATAAACGAACAAAAATGAATTATGTGCTGGACCTGCTGGTGTTAATGTTTAGGTTTCATTTAAAGATGGACAGAAGAGTTGTTCGAGGCAAAGAGAGAATTGAAGAAGAGGCATTTTTTTCTGTCAAATAACAAAACTGACAGGTAAATATTTTAAAAATTGTAGTACTTTCTTTTTGTCCCTGTTAGACATTATCAAATCCACGCCACAAAAGGTGTACAACTTTTTATTTTACACCTGGTGTAAGTGGATCCCATGAGGTAGGATTGAAATAAGGGTTGTTTGGAGGAGGAAACCAAGACACAACTGGATTGGGTGGGATGGGATGGGAATATGATAAATTCATCCTGCCTAGCCTACCTTGATTATGCAGTGAAATATATTATTTTTTTCTTATTTAATCGCATTTCCTTGAAGATTTTTTTCTTGTATAAAAGCCCAGTTAAAAATACCATTTCCTCATTTCAATGGTTTCATGTACTCTCTCTCTCTCTCTCTCGATCTGAAGCCATCATTCTCTGTCATCTATTTTTCAACTTTATTATATACATATATAAATATATGTATGTATTGGCGGCACTCTCATGTTTGCACACGAATTGGCAGAGTGGGAGCAAGTTCACTTGAAAATCGGTTACTCAAATTGTATAGCTCGTGAATTCATTGGAATCCACAGGCCCACATAATTTCCAAAGCATTCCACTTCCAGTGCATGTATTGGTGCTTCATCTATCAAATATGCAAGCAAAAGTGTGAGTTGCAGGGCTTTAGCCCAAGACCTGATGGGCTGTGGTGAAGCTGCTTACCAACGTCCTACTATTTTTTTTGTCGCCAATAATTTCATTTAACATAAATTTGGTATTCAGTTAAATTGAACCACATGTAGTTTTATTTCGACATATGAATGGTGACATGTTTATCTCATGAAGTCTTGGACTCTTTTGTCTTTATCCGATAGTCTTGAAGGCTTTGGAGTTATTAAAGGAAAATGGACAAAAATGATATTTAATAAACTAATAGGACGACATATTAATTGGGATCATTATATTTACATGCAATACACACTCTCTAAAGAGTCCAGCTCTCAAGAAATTTTTGAGTTTGATGCTAGCGTCTGCTCCCGCTTTGTGTGACTTAAATCATTACCCAGTGTGGTCCCCATTAATTGAGGGTGTTAGGAGGAGTAGATTGGATAGTCATACAGAGTCTGATATTAATTACATAAAGTGGTTGTCCTCTAGATTCAACCCCACCTTCTCATGCTTGATAGTCTCAGTTATGTGATTGTATTGAGTGTCCCTATTATAATGTTCATATCCATATCAATGGATCTGTGTATAATACGGTTATCCACTGTTTGTGTGTGTGTGTGTGTGTGTAGATGTAGATGTATTTATTTCGTATTTTTAATATATGAAGCAGTACGGTTTTCTTGAAGAACTGTGAAGATATGAGTTTTGTGGTTACTACTTACTAGATGGGGTGCTTATGAAGTGGCAGCTAGAGAACTTGTAATGAAAATTAAATTATTATGTGTAGGCATGCCATTTCCTAAGCAAAACACTTCCCCCCATAAATTGCGTTTTAAATTCTACGTTTTTGGAATTTATCTAACTGGTAAATCATCCACGGCCTTGTTATTCTTTTTCTTGTTGCTATTAATACTGAAATGATATCCTCTACTATTGACAATAAAATGACCAGTACAACTGGCCTCCCAATTGTAAATTAATCAATGCTCCTCCTTTACCTAGTTTGGTGCCCGCGATCTATCTTCCAACGGCACCTTCAAGTTTTTTAAATGTAGGACCAATCTTGAAAGTTTTAAGCTCCCATACTGATCTGATCACCATGAAATTATCTTTTTTGGGACGAAAACTGTGAATGTCATCCACATACGAAGTTTTAATATGTGCATCTGCACTGAAAGTGTGCACCTGTTCTGTTTTCTAACAGGTATAGGCAATCATAGCCGGGGACAAGCTGCACTTCCAGCAGCTATCAGAAATTTCCTCGATGAGAATGGGTGAGGTTACTGTCTTGCAAACCTCAACACATAAGTGCATTCACACTTTTGATTACTCTTTATGCCTGCGTTTGGGATACAAAATTTTGGAGATTTGGTTGTTCACTTCATTATTATTATTATTATAAACAACATATTGGTGTATATTTGCATTGCAGATACCGCTACCATGAGGCAAGACCAGGGGTAATTACAGTACGGCCCAAGTTCCGTCGCCAGTGAATCCTTAAGGTTGATCTGGCTGACTAATACACAAGGGTGTAGCCGTTTATCTAGGAAAACACCTTATCTGGGTTTTCGCAGAATTGGCAAAGAGATCATTTGTATTTCCGCACTAATTTATGCATTCTGCTCATGTAAAAACGATGTTGTTGAGCACTTATTTTCCTGTATGAAAACTCAAAAATTTTGTTATTAATATTATTATTTTTTTTTCCTGAATGGTGGCATTTTTTAGGTTTACTTAAAACCTAGAATGGAATGAATTTTAAATTGAATTATCCAAAATGGTAAATAAATTAAAGGGTTAAAGTGGTTATCTTGTTGTTGGGGTTGAGAATCGTATCCGCTCCGTCGTGTTGGAGGGAATTGTCATCTAAAAGATGATGAGGTAAGCTACAATGTCTCTAATTTGCTTATTGATGTGGGGACAGACAACGAGAAGTTGTTGAATGATGAGTTTTAGGTCAAAAGATACAGTATTTTACTGAGCTAAACTACAAGCATTGAAGCGTAAAAGTTAAACTATAAACAATATGGACTAATTTTTCTTCATGAGTTCATCACTGTTGTGAAGCAGAACTATTGTGAAAAAATATTACCTTCATTTAAATGATGATGTTATTGTAATATTTCTCTATTGTAGCAAGGATTGTGTTGGTGTTTTATTTATTTCATAATTGGTGTGGTATTAGAGTTACAGGAGCATAGAGGAAGCTCTCTTGAATGTGAACTTACCACCATTCCTGTGAGTTGTATGAGAGAATCATTGTCGATAAGGGGTATTTTGCAGACACTGTTTCAACTCATCAAACCTTTCTTAATGCATAATACACCACTTCCAAGTGCCATTGTGTTGCAGACCGCTCCAATTTGGCATGTCTAAGGCAAATGAAGACTTCTGTCAAATAGATGACCGAGTTTAGTCTGTTGAGACCAAGAGAACTTTAAAAAAAAATAGTAATAAAAAAATAATAATAAATACTCCCTAACTTTAACAGGTGAAACTAAAATCTGAAAACAGAAAGGAAATAATATAATATAAGAAAAAGAAAAAGAAAAAAAAAATCAGCCTGAATGTACCATAACAATTATATTTCAGTTGATATAAACTGAGACAATCAACCAAAGGCAAACGGATCCAAAACATTATAATAAAGACATCAGAAAGTAAAAGCCCAAATCCACTAAGCTCAGATCCACCGCTATAACTATCTCCTGGTCATCCCTCACTCTAAAACCTCATCCATCATAACATATACCCATAGGGTCCACCTTCCCTATGCAGCATTTAGAGCCACCTGGATTGACGTGTGATTGAAAGATACCATCATTGGTATTGACTTTTGAAGACTGGCAAACAGTTGGCGTTGGGCTCGAGGAAGTGAGCGCTCTGGCGAAGCACTAGCGGTTGGATCCTTCTGAACCAGTTTCGAACCAGTTTCTAACCGGACTAACAAAAAAGATACCACCACTGAGGGTCGGACACACTTCCTTGGCAGTACTACTCCTTCCGCCATTGCCAACGTTGGACAGTTGCGGCTATAAGACTCATCCATGGATGAAAAGAACAGGATGGAGTAGCTAAAAACTAACCACCAAAATAATAGAACAAGTAACAGAGAACAAAGAGCTTAGAGCATCGCCTGTATGAGATCCTTTCTGCGTTTCTTTGTTTTCTCTGTCAGCTGACTGATACTGAGGGAAGGAGAGAGAGAGAGAGAAGCACCAGCAAAGTCACCAGGAAGCAAAAAGGAAACAGGTAAAAGTAAAAACTAGAAGATTAATAGAGCAAGCTGCATGAATACCCGGATTGAAAGTATAGATCGGCTGTTCCTCGGTAGAAATACTTCCAACTCCCAAAAAACCCATTGGGTACCACCATCACCGCACACCCAATTTTACCAAAAATCAACCAAACCACACACTTCGCTTGTGTTAGCAACTGAGACAATCAACCAAAGGCTAACGGATCCAAAACATTAGAAGAAAATAATTTTTCTAACCGTTATTGTCAAAGCCCAGAATCTTAAATATATAAAACTAATGCCATTCTAGTAAACACAAAATTTGACAACTCCAAACCAAATATAAGCACCCAATTTTACCAAAAATCCACACTAACCTCAACCAAAACTCTAGCAGTTGCCCGACTTCATTGCATCCAACACTAGTTTAGTCTGTTGATGAATTAAGTCAACATGTTTTAGGTATAATTCCATTTCATGAATCTGCAAATTTCTCCACTTCTCCTCCATCTTCTTTGCCTTTGCACTTCCAATCAAAGTCATTCCTTCCTCCAACAATTTCCTCCCAGACTCCGACAACGCGTGGTTTGCCCACTGCAATGACTCATTCAATCTGGGATACATGGACAAAAAATTCTCTCCACTAGCCTTTACTCCACCACTAGCTGCTGCTACTTCTACACCACCCCATATCTTCTTTGAGAGCTCAAATATCTTGCGCTCATGGGGCTTAGAGAAAAACGGATTCCTGCCTTTTCCTGCATTTTTACTGTACTTTTTCTTCAGCCTACCCATTTTATCAGTCAATTGTTTCCTTAACGGAACAACATGAAGATAATTTTTGATATATTCATAAAAGGCACCCATATCAGTATATGCATCACCCCCATCACTCGATTTGTACTGGATCATTCCCATCAAGAGTGCAATTTCATCCTCCTCCCTCCAGAACCTACTAAAAACAGACTTCTTCTCTTCCATAGCTTGACTGCCATTGTCAACCTTTCTCTTCTTCCTCTGCCGCTCCGGTATGTCATTTTGTTCCGACGTCTCCGCCGGACGTTTCACAGCAGGTTTTGGGAGGGGCTTGGAAGAGCGGCAATCAGATTTACATTCAGATTCTGATTCTGATTCTGAATGAGAATCTTCTTCAGAACTGGTTGAATTGGATTTTTGGACAGTCTTGTCAACAGCAGGCAGAGGACTATTTCCCACTTTTCCTTCATCTTCATCATCTTCTTCTTCTTCTTCTGCTTTGTCACTCACAGATTCGTCTTCACCTTCATCATCTTCTTGTTCCTGCGCTCCTGCTTCTGATTCTGATTCATCATTTTCTTCTTCTGCGTCTTCATTTCGTTCCGACGTCCCTGCCGGACGTTTCACAGCAGGCTTTGGGAGGGGTTTATATTCAGATTCAGATTCTGAATGAGAATCTTCTTCAGAACTGGTTGAATTGGATTTTTGGACAGTCTGGTCAACAGGCAGAGGACTATTTCCCACTTTTTCTTCATCTTCTTCTTCTTCTGCTTTGTCACTCACAGATTCGTCTTCACCTTCGTCATCTTCACCTTCATCATCTCCAACATCTTCTTGTTCCTGCCCTCCTGCTACTGATTCGGATTCATCATTTTCTTCTTCTGCGTCTTCATTTTTGCTGTTTGTATTAATCTTCTCTTCTTCTGCATTTGTTTCCTCCACCTTCTCATCATCATCATCATCTTCTTCTTCATCACGGTTTGTTGTAACCGTGTTCTTCTCTTCTTTTTGTTGGTCGGTGGTGTTGTTCATTTGCTCATCTGTTTGTTGTTGGTTGTTGGTGTTGGAATTCATTATCTTATTTTTCAGATGATGCAACAGGAGGGGAAGTTTGTATAGCATATGTGTATCAGTAGTGTGTATGTTAATCTATAGAGAGAGATGGAATATTTCCCTAGCTAGAGAAACCAATATACACGGTAGCTTGATTTTACTCCTTAATTGAAGTCGAATATATATATATATATATATATAGTAAATAGCAGCTTATATAAGAAGGTGGTTCGTCAACTAGGTTTAGGTTTTCTAAAAGAATTGAAATACCCAATTAATTAATTAATTAAGAGTACCCAATTAATGACCTGTCATGCGCTTGATAATTGCAGTCTTTTCATCTTCTTTTTTTTAGCAGTATTTTTTATTTTTTTTTAAAGATTTTTGTTACTGAGTGATATGACCATTATTGAGAGGGATTTATTACTTATGTTGGATTCTATTTAGCAAATGAAAAAAAAAAAAAAAAAAACTAGTTTTATCATTACTCGTTTAAAAAAAAATTCTTTCAACATGGGTTATGGCGTGACCTTCTGAGTTCTTCCAACGCAAGATTTAGGTTTTCATAATACTTATAGAGTAGTCAATTAGGTTTTCCTCCATTGCATATTTCTTTGCAGTCTTTTCATCATTCTTTTATTTTTTATTTATTTTTATTTTGTGGTAAGAAAATTGTATTAGGTGATATGGACCATTATTGAGATAATAATAATCAACATAAGAGAAGAAGAGGGATTTTATTCTTATATATGTTAAACACTGTTTAGCAATCAAAAAAGACAAAAAAAATAAATAATGAAATTATAAAAAATAAATAAATAATGAAATTATAAAAAAAAAAAAAATACTGCCTATAATTGTATCATTCATTACTCTTTTTTAAAATTTTCTTTGTGAAAAATATTTTATTTGAACAACGGCAGCTTAATTTTAGTCCTTAATTGAAGCAGCTTATATAAGAAGGTTGTTGGTTCGTCAACTAGGTTTAGGTTTTATAAAAGAATTAATTAAGAGTAGCCAATTAATGAGTTCCTCCAATTAATTAATTAAGAGTAGCCAATTACTGACCTGTCCTCCTTTGTTATTCCATTGCACGCTACATGCGCCTGATATTTGAAGTCTTTTCATCTTTCTTTTTTTTTTGGTGGAAGTAAAATGCGATTAATTTTTGTTATTGAGTGATATAGGTCATATGACCATTATTGAGAGGGATTTTATTCTTATGTTGAATTCTATTTAGCAAATAAAAAAAAGAAAAAAGAAAAAAAAAGTTTTATTATTACTCACATCTCTCAATATGGTTATGGTGTCTGTGTGACCTTTTGAGTTCCTCCGCAAGGTTTATGGTTTCGTAATACGGATGGAACAAGCAATTAATGACCTTACCTTTTATGTCAAGCGCATCTTTGCATTAATGTTCAAAATACAAGGTAAGTGGAGGGCCAATGGCCCCCCCAGCTTGTGAGGTCTTCACGCTTTTATATTTTATTAGCAGAATCAATGTGCGTTATACTTGATGATAATTCTATCCTTAATTTCTTACAAATAAATGATTGCAGTCCACTGGTAAATTTTATTTTATTTTTTATAAAAAAAAATACTCCATTTATTTGAATTGAGATGGTTTTGGACCCTTAAAAATTAGAAAATAATTTTATTAGTTATTTTCAATTTTAATCATTGGATGAAATTCAATAAACTGAAATTAAAGTCCCCGCATGTTGCTCCTTACTCACCAAGAAGCAACTTAATAGTCACACACACACACACACACACACACACACATATATATATAATGGACGTTGATGATGCGGTCTCTACAATCCAACACGAATACACAAGTTCTAACAGACACGGAAGCCAAGAAGTCAGATAAGCTACAGTTACGAAGCGATATGGATAATAATAAGTTCTTCAGATCCGTATTGTATTAGAATAAGAAGATTAATTCCCTTATCAAATACTATAATCTATTCTATAAAAAGGGTAACCAGCCAATTCAAAATGTACGTAAACAATATCCCTAAAAGAGTCCATTGGTTTTTCTGGTCTTGTACTAACTTGACCGTCGGAGACTCTTGGGCCGGTCCTGTACCGGTGCTTTTTCGACGACGCTTTCTCTTCTCTGCAGGTAACGACGTCGTTCTGGGTCGTGACCGAATCTTGCATCATCAGTTGGCGCCGTCTGTGGGAAACGCGAATATTTGTTTCCTGAAAAACAATGGTTCAGTTGTGATCCGGAGTCCAACTCGGAGAAGGAAGCCAGCACCTTTCACGCCTTGACAGCGGAAGTCAATCACAGCATGGTGGTAGCAGCCACCATCAACAGTGTCAAGGCGGAAATCAATCACAGCATAGTGATGGCAACCACCGTCAACAGCGTTAAGTCGCAAATCAATCACAACATGGAGATGACGGTAGCCGTCAACCACATAACGATGAGAACCAGTCGCGTCACAACGATGGTCATCAATCGTATCATGATGATAATCAACCTCATCACAAGAATGACAGACCTCACGTTAGTCAGTCTTGCGCGAGAGAAGATCAGTCTGAGCATGCATCCCGTCAAGGTAACGCCTCCAGGCGGGTTCTAAACGATGGGAAAATTGTCACGTTAGAACAACAAGTTCAGAACCTTACTCAAGGTATGAATCAGTTGGTCCAGCAAAACACAACAATCATGCAACACTTGGCCATCCCTGTAATACCCTCTAAAGGTAACGATGACAGCGATAGAGTAGACTATAGTCAAGCGGGAGGTCGACAGGGAGACCTGCGCACTTCCACACCTCGTTCCAGAGATATGTCTGATGCTGGAGAACGCACTGAAGCAACTTACATCGATCAGGTTGGGTTATGGTTTATGTAGTCTAGTACTTATAGGTTAGTGTATTATTTTATATAAATTAATAAAATAATATTGGTGGAGACATAGATGATTTGTCAAAGCTTAAATTTTGGATATGTAATTTAAATAATCAAAATTATTATTGGGTTTTAGATTTATTATATTATTCCTTTAATTGTAATTTGTTGCTTAAATGATTAAACTACTGTTTATGATGGAATTAAGGTGAGTGGAGTTTATGTTTTAAGAAAATTATGTTGATGTATTGGTTTATGTTTGATTATTAATTAATCATTGGTTAATTTGTGGTTTTAACATTTTAATGTACTTATTAATGGATAGGAGTATTGTATTATATATAAGTGTTTATATCTATGTGTATCATCATATATTAAAGTTAAAACTTTATTAGGGTTGGTTTTGTTATAGATAATTTGTTTATTGGTTTTCAGATGCTTTATAGAGAGAGCTTGCTCGTAGGGTTTAACCCGCGATTTATTTTTCAAGTGATTAGAAGTTCAAGTCTCAAGGTGAGGATCCGCAGCTGGAGGACTTATCCATTCTTTCGGTTTATTTACAATTAGGATATTATTATTATTTCATTTGATGTTGGTATTTAATAATAAACTTCCGGATAGTGGATTTTTGGTTAAGGGGTCCTTGAGTTACAGGATTTCCGAGTTGTAAATTTTGGAGGGTTATTAATGGAACTATTATTTAATAGATTTTTCTTAAACGAGTTATTTATTCTTTTTTTTTTTTTTTTGTACTCTGTGCTTGTTTGAAATACTTTAATTGTTTTGATATCCCTTTATTTTGTGCGTGGAATTGATCAACACGTGTTCCAAAATTAGGGGGTTTCAGAGTTGGTATCAAAGCTTGACCCAGCCGGAAATGTGCCGACGGGGATGTCGGGCCTCCAAAAGGGGTGGATTGTGATGACCCTGTAGGCGGATGCGAGACACTGGCATGCTACCACACTGGCGAGCTACAGGTGCATAATCCCACATCACCTGGGTAAGGGAAAGGTGAAGTGCTTATATGTAGGTGTGTCACTCCAATTGATATGAGGCCTTTTAAGGTAAAGCCCAAGAGCAAAACCGTGCGGGCTCAGGCCCAAAGCGGACAATATCATACCATGTGGTGTAGTGGGTCATTACATCAATCACCAATTGATGCCATCCACACCATATCCTACCATCCACAACAACATAATTATTACACCAGTGCCAGTTAGGTCTAATTCTTCCACTGATCCGATCAAACTTTGCTCTTTGAACCCTTGTCTCCATTAGGTAAACAAGTGACAAAGAGAGCTTGCTCAACCAAGAGTGGACCTCATATTGCATCCCCCTCCTGTTGAGACCCCTCACATTCTACATTCCAATCGTAATGATACAGTTGGTAGTGGAACAGCTCCACCAGCCACCACACCTTTAGTGATTCTAGCATTAATAACTTCATTCTCAGCCTCCTTTTCATATTCTTCTTTTTTTTGTTTTTTGGTTAGAGGAGTGACCTCTTGAGAGCTATTCACTGCAACCTCCTTCCCTTTGTCCTGATTTAGCAACCCTTACAGGAGAATTGATGGGCTGCAGTCCATGATTAACTTCGTTGGGGCTATCCCCTGCAACCTTCTCCCCTCTGTCTTGATTAACATCCTTGACAGGAGACACCACCACTGAAGACACCATTGGATTGTGCTGCAATCCATCATGATCAAAGGTTTTCCCTATATAAATATCCTCTTCCTGCACCACAGCTGCACTGTTGTCCTCCTCCTGGATCACATCATTAGCAGGCCTTACTTGACCATCAAAGCCTGGATGCTCTGCATTACTATCCTCCTCAAAACCCACTGTGACCATAACATTTACTTCCTTAGAAGCTGTATCTCCTTGAAATGGAATTAAAGCCAGAGTATCATTAACTTGTTTCGTATCCCTATCCATTTCTCCTCCACATTATCACCAGGATCCCTTACAATTAAGTCCTCTCCCACAGGAATCAATTTCCCATTCTGCTTGACAACCCATTCTGAGGTCACCTTATTTATTCTGAACCTGCATTATGCATTTACCTTCCGAGTGGTAATAACCATTACACCTCCTGCATAATTGAGGTTTCCAATCATATTCCACAAATACCTCACACTCTGTTTGTGACGGCCCTGGTTTTTCAAGCCAGTGCGTCGTGTGATGAACCAAAGATTGACCCGATAGCGGATCCAGATGCGGAAGCAAGAAACAAGACAACGGTCTCCCAAGGCACAACACACCTCTAAGACACTTTAATGACTTTCCATGAGGTCGTGGAATTCAATGAGAACTGATGCGGAAGCAAAAGATCGAAAAAATAACAATTAAGCCCCCAGGGGAAAAATAGTCATTTTACATAGAAATGACGTCCCTAGAATGTATATCATTCCTGAAACACATCCGTGACTTTCCCAAGAAGTCACGGGACTCAAAAGAAAGTAGCGGAAGCGGAAAACAAGAAAAATCGAACAAAAATAGCCCCAAGGGCAATATAGTCATTTTTAAAAATATAGATTTAGGTGTCATCGAGCACACCGCTAGAAAGACAACGACAAACTAATCAAGATGGACTCAAGAATCGCATGATTCGGAGTCCGGACGAAGGAGAAACAGCAAGACGAAGAAAAACGAGCACTTAAGGCTAAAAGGGTAAATTAGTAATTATCCAAAAAGATCCAAGTTTTACCGAGTACACCGTTGGAAAGATCAAAGAAAAGTTCACTCGATTTGGAGTCCGGACGAAGGAGAACGAGAGAAAACAAAAATCGACGTCACGACGTCGAGACGAGGCACCACGAGCACCCCACGAGCATCCTGACATACACCATGACATGCTAGGGGAAGAAAAAGATTCAGCCAGAACTGAGAGCTGAAACGAGGTCCGAAACGATTTTTTCTGGAAAAATACGAAAAAGAAACCCTCTCTAAAATCGAGTTTTCTACCCGACTTGAGGAAGGAAACAAAAAAAACATACTACTAAATACCTAAAATGGCCCTAGATTAGAAGAGGTCAAGAGGGCCAAAAGCTGCTACAGTAACTGTCCACATCTTAGAGCAGAAACGGGCTATCAAACGAATTTTTTTGGAAAAATACGAAAAATAAACCCCCCCCTAAAATCACGTTTTCTATCCAACCACATGGAAGAAAACTAAAAAAACACATTGTGAAATACCCAGAATGCCCCTAGATCAGAAAAGTGCAAAAAAAAAAACCCAACTAATGCCTTATGGAATTTTTGAATCTGTCAACAACTGAGAGCAAAAATGAGCTAGTAGGTGGATTTTTCTGGAAAAACACGAAAAAGAAACCCCTCCCAAAATCAAATTTTCTACTCGGAAACTTAGAAGAAAATGAAAAAAAAATACACTGTGAAATGGCCAAAATGCCCCTAGATCAGAAAAAGGTTAAAAACTCAAAAAAATGCAACTTTGCACCAAGTATGCATTTGACCCTAAATGCATTTCTAGGTTGAAACGAA